ACAAGATCTTGCTAAGTTGCCCTGGCTGGCCTCTAACTTGCAGTCCTTCTGCCTCAATCTCCTGAGTGGCTAGGATGACAGGCATGTGCCACCATGCCTATGTCCTTTCTTTGGTTTTTCATTTTTACTTGTGTTTATTTTATTTTTGAAACAGGATCTTATTGATTTGCCCAGGCTGGTCTTGCACTTGTGATCCTCCCCTCAGCCTCCCAAATCKCTGGGATTACAGGTGTGTGCCATCATGCCTGGCTCTCCTTTAATTGACTTTTTTTAAAAAAATGTTTTTAGTTGTAGATGGACACAATACTTTCATTTCATTTATTTTATTTTTATGTGATGCTAAGGATTGAACTCATTGCCTCACATGTGTTAGGCAAGCGCTCTGCCACTGAGCCCTTGATTGACTTTTATCTCCACTTTAAATTCACTGTCAGTTTTTTCACTTGGTTCCATCTTGATAAATGGATTGAGAGTTGAAGTCCATGTAAAGAGGTCACATTGACCTCTTTACGTGTAAAGACATGTAAAGTGACAATTGTAAATTGTCACATTGTAAATTGATCCCTATTTCCATTTTTTGAGCCTTTTTGACTAGCATAGAAAGAGGGAATATATTTTTGTAGTTGGTGTCCTGTCATGCCATATTCCYTTCCCTGTTCCTCATAGCAGAACCCTTGATTATGAGCTGGTTGTTCTGAAGCAACCAGGCAGTTACTGTGMATTATCTGGCACTTAGCAGGGTCAAGTTCTTTTCTTGGACCTATTTAATAATGCTACTGAATGTGTGGAAGGTGTTTAAATCATCATTTCCAGTTGACTTGAAGTAAAACCCTTTGGGTAGTATTACTTGGTCAACTCTCTCAAATGTTAATGAACAACATGCTTTAATCATAAAATTAACACATTTTTGTGATATTATTTGGGTTTTATTCACATTTGCTAATGAAAATCTCCCATTTTCTTGAAATAAAGAGCTAAACAAGCAACTTCAGGGATATGAAAGTAAATTATTGGTGAGAGAAAGAAATTCTTTGAATCCAAAAAGTAAGGATAAACTTCCTTCCMAGTGCTAGTTTTAGGGTGGGCTGAGGGTTGAGTGTGCAGCAGATGGTTTACAAAGGCCCTTTTGTGGTGACTCGCTCTCTGGATGCTGCTTCTTGGCAAATGGTTGCATCAGTTCATGAGCCTGCACAGTTCCAGGAAAGGTGCAAAATGGAGTTTCAGWGCCTATTCTGGACTGACTGCCAAGTTTTAATAGAGCCTATTCTGTGGACAGGCTACAACTGTTAGGAGTCATGAAATTACATGGTTCTAAGACTGAAAGTGGGGCCCCTAGAGTGAGAGTTTGTTTTGTTAATCCCCACTAATCATTTTCACAGTTGACTTTACCAGCTTAATGGCAGTAGTCTGCTAACCACAGATGTTTGATTAGAATTTAAATGGTCTTCTTGATTTCCTTTTGATAATCATATCAAGAAAGAATGATATCTTTACAGTGATATAGCAAATGGAAATAGAAAAGGGCTTCATGAGAAATGTTGCATTCAAAAATTGTTTATTAAATAAAGGTTTTTTTGAGCTGGATGTGGTGGCCACACCTATAATCCCCTGGTTCTGGAGAGGTTGAGACAGGAGGATCACAAGTTTGAGGCCAGCCTGGGCAGTTTAACAAGAACTGTCTTAAAATTAAGTTTAAAAAGGGACTGAGGATGTGGCTCTGTGCTAGCATGGGGGAGGTCCTAGGTTCAGTCCCTAGTACTGGAAAAAAATTTTTTTTCAAGTATCTACTTTGGGTTAGGTACTGTGTGTATTAGGTATTGGCTATACAGAGATAAACAAAAACAAACATAATCCTTGTCTTCATGAAACTTAGAGTTGATACGAGGAAAGGTAATTTTTCTCCATAGTTTTTATATTGAAAAATGGATGGTTTGAGGCAACAAATTTAGTGTGTGGGGGGCAGGGAAATAGGGAKAGAGAGAATAGGAGAGAGAGAAGGATGGTGAATTTTTGGTATTTGTTATTAGAATATATTAATGTACTGAGTTGGAGAAAACCAATGACCCTTGACTACTTTTTGGGAAAAGGCTGGATGTGTGTGACTAAATAATACTAATAATTAATAACTAATTTGGGTAAGGCAAGAAAAAATGAAAATCTTCCTGACTCTGAACTCAACATAGAATGTGAATAAAATACATTCAGACCATGTAATGAGTTAGGCACAGGGAAAACAGGAAGTCCACTTTGACTCCGTCAGTCATGTGACCTGACTTGGACTTACCTCTGCTGGATCTTGTTACCCCTCCATAAGTGTATGTGTTTATACAAATGGGGTCAACAACGTCTTCCTTACCAGGTTCTTAGAAGCTTCAGATTAAACATATGAGTACATTAAGTGAGGGAGACAATATTTTGCCATCTGAGGATAGGCAAAAAAAGATGCTAGCTAAGGGAACATATAGAGTATCCAGGAACAAGTGACTCAGGGGGCTGAGGCCAGAGGATTGCCAGTTCAACATTAAATTAAAGGGCTGGGGTTGTAGCTCAGTGGTAGAGCGCTTACCTAGCAAGCATGAGGCACTGGGTTTGATCTTCAGCACCACATAAAAATAAATAAATAAAAATAAAGATATTGTATTAATATTCAACAAAAATAAATTAATTAAAAAGCTCTGGGAATGTAGCTCAGAGGTAGAGAGTCCCTGGGTTCAATCCCCAGTGCCAAAAAAAAAAAAAAAATCCAGGGGATGGATTGCCTGGGAGCTATATGAAAAATATCTCTATGCCTTGGGCTGTGCTAGACTTGTGGACCAGAAGTTGTGGCCATCAGTAGGTAGGTAGAACTCTTTTTTTTTTTTTTTAATACCTCTGTTGAGGCATTCCTAGCTTAGTTATTAGCTTAGTTATGGTAATACAGTGTGCCCCTTGTGCCTTTTCCTAAGCTGGGTTGATATCTGGAACAACAATAAATCCTTTAATTTGAAATGAAACATAAGCACAAGTAAATAGTTCAAAGATTTATTGTCTGACAATTTTTTAAAAATCAGACTTTTGGGGGCTAGGGGCATAGCTCAGGTGGAGGGCCTACCTTGCATGCATGAAGCTCTGGGTTTTTGATCCCTAGTACTGAGGGGAAAATTCAGACTTMTGAAAATGGTTATGTCACTCAACTAGTACATCATTTTAAAAGAAGAACCTAAGTTTCACTGTCAAACTGATTGCTATATTTCTTTAAAGTACCACATGTGCACCAGTATATACTTCACAGGTTTGTGAAGTACACTCTGTGGTGTTCAAACACCAACAAACCACCTAATGACGTATTTCTCAGATATTTCTTACTATTATTAAGTGACACATAATTGTATCATTCATGCCAGAATTGCCACAAAGATCTTGCCTTGACCATTGCTCAGAAAATCACTCTGCTTTCCAAATTCATCTCTTTTTTAAAGCCATGGTTATGGAGTATAATTTTCAGTCAGATTCACTCTTCTTGCAGAGTGTGCTCCTGTGTGTTTTGGTTTTCTGCAGTCCTGGGTGTAGGTCTTGACAAACGCATGTCATCATGTAACCACCTCCCCAGTCATAACACAGGATGGTTTGGTCAGCCCCCAGATTCCCTTATGCTCCTTTACGGCCATCCCCTTCCTCCACACCCCTCCTGGCAACCACTGTGACTCTGGCTTTGCCTTTTCCAGGATGTCATATAAATGGAACTATATTCCTGATTGATTCCTACTTTGAAGAAAACTTGGTAAAATTCTGAAATTCAGACTTTTCTCCCAAAACAAACAGATGCCATCAATTTCTTAGTGATGGTCCAGAGGAGTCTTGGTTTTTAGCAGGAAATGGTTGTTTTGCTTGGCTAGTGCTGCTGGTTTCCCTGCTGCTTCAGGTTTGGATGGTGTACATGCTGTGCGTGGTCCCCCCTCTKTCCCACGTACTGAGCACTGGAGAGTACACCTCCTTCCCTAGGGAACTTTAGGTATGTAGGGCATCCTGTATTGGGTCTAATCAACAGATGTAGTAGCTTACAATTAAGTATTTTCTGAAGCTTCTTATTAGTAAACAAATAGCTCCTTTAAAAGTGAAGTATCTGGGTGATGGTGGCGCACACCAGTAGTCCCAACTCCTTGTGAGGCTCAAGCAGCAGCAGCACTTGAGCCCAGGAGAAGACCAGTGTGGGCAATGGCTAGATCTCCATCTAAAAAAAAAAAAATGTGAAGGAAATATATATTGCTTCTACAGAAATATTAGCTAGAATAGGCATATAAATTTTTATTTGATAGTCTGGGTGAGAATTGTCTTTTGTACGTTTCCAAAGTGGGGCTGGGTGGGTGGGTAGAAAACCATTGCTGCCTCAAAAATYAGAAGAATACACATCTTTGGTTGGAGATGTATTAGATATATAAAAGCTAAAAGGAGGACATTTWAAAAAATCACACTATAGCTTAGTTACTAGTTATTAGCTTAGTTATGGTAATAACTAAGTTATTAGTTGGGGTGGTAGCTCAGTGGTAGAGCGCTTGCCTAGCATATGTAAGACACTGGGTTCCATCCTCAGCACTATAAACAAGTAAAGGCATTTTGTCCGTTTACAACTAAAAAAATTTAAAACACACACACACTATAGTGTCTAAGTACATTATCGATTGGAGTTTTTGACATTCCTGTATCTGTGTTTGTTCTTCCAATCCCATGTGAAGATACTAAAAGAAGTGTCATACATCAACTTAGAAAAACCAAAGAGAAACCTAACAAAGATAAACAGTATAGTTAGCTATGTGTCTTAATCTCTGATATTTTATGAATTATAGATTTACCTTTTGAGTTACTTTATAGACCTGATTTATAATCTTTGATATACCAGTTATGTTTTTAGATGAAAGGAAGTATCTCAGCTTACAAATAGAAGGGYCTTTTTATTTGTACTGATTAGTTTATTGAAATTTAAGGAGCTTAACAAATTGGTGGGGCCTTTTTTTTTTTTTAAGGCTATGAAAATGATTCTGTAGAAGACTTGAAGGAAATGACTTCAATATCCTCTCGGAAGAGAGGCAAAAGGAGGTACTTCTGGGAGTATAGTGAACAGCTGACACCATCACAGCAAGAGAGGATTCTGAGGCCGTCCGAATGGAGCCGAGATACCTTGCCAAGTAATATGTATCAGAAAAATGGCTTACATCATGGTAAGAGGGGGGGATTGCAGTAAAACATTTAGTGTCGCTAAAAATGAGGATACTGAACCATGATGCCGGTGTGCTTTAGAGTCCAGCACTCCTGAGCCCCACTAGAGAGTAGTGTCTAGAGCTGTCCCCAGGCTGAGGGTGCCTTAGTGGCAGAGCACATGCCTAGCATGGGAGGCTTCAGGTTCAATGGATTCCCAGCACTGAAAGAAGAGGAAGAGGAACGTTACCTAGAGAGACGGCACGATGGTGTGAACAGTTGTTTCTAGTCCATTCTTATTCTACTTACCACCATCTAGGAGGCTTGTGGGCCCTGGCCTGTCATAGTCACTATAACCAGAAGCATTGGTGAGAAACAAATGGCTTTAGCATCTCTCTATTCTGTACTTTTCTGGTCTCCAGATTTGAATGTAATCTGGGAGACTGGAATACCAAGGTGGTGGGGAAAAGAGAAGGAAAGAAGAGAAAGGGTGGTTGTGGAAAAGGGTGGAAGGAAGAGTTAAATGGTAGAAATCGAAGACATTTACAATCTAAGGTCAGATTTTGAATTGTGAACTAAGAAAGCTGTAATTAAGTAAGAGTTTCTTCTGCAAAAGTATTTTTACAGTAATTCAAAGTTTTTACCCAAAAAAGGCAGAGAGGGGAAGTACTAGGAAGCTTGGTGTTCAACAAAGACTTTAGTGTTCATTCAGGCTGCAGATTTAAGTCACAAGCATTTTTAAGGATAGGGATTTTATCTTAAGAGTATTTGTGCCTCATTTTCCCTACCATCAGCACCTGGAGACTCTTCTCTCAGTGAATAATTGTGAAATTTTTATATTCAGATTGATTTGCTACCAGAAATGAAAAGGTAAGTCTACTAGGTGCTTGTGATGAGCTCTAGAAAAGTTGTTAATATTTTAGGAGTTTAGAGGACAGAGCCATCCTTTTTGCCTGGAGTGATAAGGCAAGACCCCTGGATTCTCCTGTAATGTTATGTATCAAAGCAGCTGAAGAAGAGCTTTCAAACACATTCTTTATTTCCTGTAGGATTTTTAGTCTGACACACAAATGTATATGTCTGACAAAAATTTCAGTACTAGCCTCAAAATGCCTGGTTTTGGGTAAAATTACAAACTCTCTTCTGACCATATGTTATATCCTATTCTTGATTCTTGTCTGTAGTTGAACTTGAACTTCATTCCTGAGATTTGAGATATTTAGTACTATCTTTCAAAGAGTTAAGAACCTGTTATCCCGAGGCTAAAACTTAGGGGTAGAGAAGGACTTGGAAAAGCTTGGAATTGTGCCATATCGTTCCCATTTCTGTATGCGTGCATGTGTGTGTGTGTATGTGTGTGTGTGTGTGTGTTTCTGGAGATGGAATCCAGGGCCTTATTCATGCCAGTTCAGTGCTCTGGCACTGAGCCATACCTGCAGCCCACCCGTATAGCCAGGGGAAGGAGAGAAGGCTCACCTCTCTTGCTTAGGTTGTTAAACATGCCAGGACTTACAACATGAAAAGGTGATGGTGTAGTAGCTGCGGAAAGTGTTCACTAAAATAATCTAACTTAATTTCTTTTAAACTGTCTATAGGGAAATATGCAGTAAAGAAGTCGCGGAGAACTGATGTGGAAGACTTGACTCCAAATCCTAAAAAACTACTCCAAATAGGCAATGAGCTGAGGAAACTGAACAAGGTGATTAGTGACCTGACTCCAGTCAGTGAGCTGCCCTTAACAGCCCGGCCAAGGTCAAGAAAGGAGAAGAATAAGCTGGCTTCCAGGTACATGCTGATAATGTTCACTCATGTGAATCAAGTCTAGGAGTGAGATTAGACCCCAGGCTTTAGTAGGAGAGTCACCTTCAACTCCATTCAGAAATATTTTTCTTTTGTAAATACTACAATGAGAATATTGTGTTTTTTCCTRTTAAAGTAAAAGGTGGCATTTATGCTTTCTGGAAAAGGTTCTAAGGTGGAAGAGGTGAATGGATTTCAAGTGCATTATAATATAATAATGTTTTGGGTTTTTTAAAATTTTTGTACCGAGGATTGAACTAAGGGATACTCGACCATTGAGCCACATCCACAACCCTACTTTGTGTTTTATTTAGAGCAGAGTCTCACTGAGTTGCTTAGCACCTCACCAGTGCTGAGACTGGCTTCGAACTCGAGATTCTTCTATCTCAGTCTCCCGAGCTGCTGGGATGACAGGTGTGGGTCACAGTACCTGGCAACAATGGGAGATTTTTATAACTGTATTTTCTGTTTGTTTGTTTGTTTTTTTTTTTAGTAAATCAGGTTTATTGAGGTATAATGTAAAAGTAAAATTCACCCATTTTAATGTATTGTAGTACAAGTTTTGACAAGCATATCCAGTCATAACATTACCACCACAATCAAGATATTGAACATTTTCATCACCTTAAAAATTATAAAATTCTCTCATCTTAGGCTCTCACCAGCTCTGCTCTGTTTTCTGTCCTTACAATTTTGCTTTTCTTGAATGCCTTATAGATGGAAGATTATCTAGCTTAGGGTTTGGCTTCCTTTATATAACATGATGCATTTGAGGTTCATCCATATGGTCTCATGGAGTAATTGTTCTTTTTTATTACTGAGTAATAGTCCTTTGCAGGGATATACTACAGTTTCCTCTGTTTACCATTTGAAGGATCTTTGGGTTGCTTCTAGTTTTTGGCAGGTATGAATAAAACCACCATAAACATTGACTTACTGGTAGTTTGAGTGAACATAGGTTTTCATTTCTTTTGGATAGATGACCAGGTGTATATGTTCAACTTTGTAGGAAACTACCAAACTGTTTCTCAGAGGAACTTCTATGTTTTGTTTTACATTCCCACCAGAACAGATGGGGCACTACTTGCTTCACACCCTGTATAGTACTTGGTATTTTCAGGTTTTGTTTTACCCACACTTAATAGTTGTGTATTGGTTACAGCTTTATTTCTGAATGAGTGCTAAATTTTAAAAATTTAGTTAGATGATTATAATGAGTGTGTTTTAATTCAGTTCCTTGATACACACTAGTAGGCAGTGATCTTTGGTTGCTATTAGAAAATGTCTGACAACAGCAAAAGTATATTCAAAATATTCTCTTAAAAAGTGAACTAATAGCTCCTTCCTTTTGCAGAGCTTGTCGGTTAAAGAAAAAAGCCCAGTATGAAGCTAATAAAGTGAAATTATGGGGCCTCAACACTGAATATGGTAAACCTGAATATTGAAGAATTTGATTAACCCTCTGTGAACTTTGCTGACCACCGTTTCCCTTTAGTTTTGTTGTTGTCTTTCCCCATATGCTGCCCAGTGTTTGGCTAGCTGCCTTTGTGTTCATCCATTTAGTAAGCCACATGCATGTTTCATTCATTCTTGTTCTTCTCCTGGTGGGAACGTCTGCATCTGTGGCTCTGAGCCAGATCTCATGTCTGGGCTAGTAGCTGGTCCACTTGGACCACAGTCCTTTCTTCTATAATATAATGATGCTGGATTAGCCAGTTTTGTTGTCTGGTGTTAACACTTTTCTTGAATTGATTAATGGTATTTTAACCTCTGTGTGGATAGTTTAGATCCATGTTTCCAATTTGATTGCTCATTAGAATGTCTGTGTACTTGTTAAAATACAGATTTCTAGGCTTCTCCCCAGAGCTTCTCCGTTGAAATAGAACCAAGGAATCTATATCTATACATCTCTATCTATCTATCTCTCTGTATATTTTTGTACCCTGAATTGAACCCAGAGATGCTTTACCACTGAGCCATATCTCCAACCTTATTATTATTTTTTTCCATTTTTGAGCAGGGTCTTAGGGCCTTGCTAAGTTGCTGAGGCTGAACTTTGAATTGGTGATCCTCCTGCCTCAGCCTCCTGAGCAGCTGGAATCACAGGTGGCCCCACTCTGACTGGCTGGGAATCTGTATTTTTGTTACTCCCCAGACTACGACTATGACAACTCCTCCTCCTCCTCCTCTTCTTCTTCTTCTTCTTTTTTTTTTTTTTTTTTTTTTTTGCAGTGCTAGGGATCAAACCCAGGGTTAGGGGCAAGTGTTCTACCACTAAGCTCTGCCCCTGTATCTGTTATTACATCATTAAAAGCAATTTCTTCCATGTTAGTGACATAAAGTATTTTGTTGTGTCTTACAGATAATTTATTGTTTGTCATCAATTCCATCAAGCAAGAGATTGTAAACCGGGTACAGAATCCAAGAGAGGAGAGAGGACCCAACATGGGGCAGAAGCTTGAAATCCTCATTAAAGATACTCTTGGTAAGAATAATATTAGATAAATTCACAACCAGTAATAACATGTAGATAATATGATTGAAGGAGATATTAAAAGTTCTTTAAGGAAAAACTCAAGTGTTCTCATAATGGTTACTGTTTCTCTCTCTCTCTCTTATTTTCCTATGCTGTGGTTTGAACTTGAGCCTCTTGCATGCAAGGCAAGTGCTCGAACACTGAGCTACACCACATCCCATAGTTACAAAAAGAGTGATTTTGCCTTTTGATATTTAGTATTCATAAATGACTACTGTCTGCCACAATTTGTAATTTAGGTTTAAACACTGAACTGTGTTAGTGCCTAAGAAAGAACTTGTAACAACTTGAACCTCTGTGGGGAGAAGACCCTGAGCTGAAGGCCTGCAGCTGGCACTGCAGTGGGGCATCCTTCATCGCTTGCATATCGCGGGCTTCTAGCCACCTTGACTCTCTGGCTTCCACCCTGAACAGATGCACAGTGTGGGGAAGAGCAGAGAGGCAGGCACCCAGAAGCCACGCTGATGGGTAGCTGGTAGGGAGGAAAGAGCAAGCCAKTCTCGACAGAAAGAATGTACAGGAGCAAATCACCCTATGGATTGTAGCATCCCAAGGGCTTCACATTCAGCCCATGAAAAAATCTAAAAATTAAATTCAGGCAACAAAAGACTTATATACATCTCCTCTTTTCTCTTTCTTTCTCTACCMCTCCCCCCGCCCCAGCACTGGGGATTGAGCCTAGTGACACTCTGAGCTACATCCTTGGTCCTTTTGATTTTTTTTATTTTGAGGGAAAGTCTCACTAAGCTGCCCAGGCTGGCCCTGTGCTACAATCCTCCTGCCTCATCCTTCTGAGCAGTTGGGATTACAGGTTGTGCTTTGCTCCTTCCCTCTGGGATTCTGTTTCTTATTTTTCTTTTCTTTCTTTCTTTTTTTTTTTTTTTTTTTTTGTGGTGCTAGGGATTGAACCCAGGGTCTTGTGCATGTGAGGCAAAACTGAGCTATATCTCCAACCCTCCTGTTTCTTTGTTAAAGCATTATTTTTTGTTCCTCTTGTGTCCTGCTGAGGATGGAACCCCAGGACTCTAACATGCTCAACATGCGATTTGCTACTGAGCCATTTCCCAACCCATTGTGTTCCTTTTAATTTGGTTTTAATTCCAGGAATTAATTTTTCCTTTTATTCTAATTATTTTTTGTATTCTGTTATCTTATTTCTGAGTTTTTCTATTTCTGGTTCATTTTCTTTCATGTTTTGTGGTATTTTCTTTACTGTCTTTTAATTCATTTTGAAATACTAGTATGTTATATATGATTTTCATCCAATTCAAGGTCTTATCTAGAGGCATCTGTTCTCTGTTTGCAGAAATAATTTTATACTTATATATTTTTTTCATAGAATACTTTTATGGGATTCTAAACTTGATATTTTTCTGTTGCTCATTTATATGCACAATTAGCTTTCCTGAACTTTTTTTTTAATGCTGGGGATTGAACTCAGGGGCACTCGACCACTGAGCCACATCCCCAGCCTTATTAGAGACAGGGTCTCACTGAGTTGCTTAGTGTCTCAACTTTGCTGAGGCTGGCTTTGAACTTGTGATCCTCCTGCCTCAGCCTCCTGAGTTGCTGGGATTATAGACGTGTGCCACCTCACAGGGCTAGCTTTCCCGAACTTTTAAAAAGAAGGCCTGGGTCAGAATACTTTTTCTAGCTTTAAAGACTGCCCCCACACAGACTTTTTTTTTTTTTTTTTTTGGTCAAATGTTTAAAACCAGGCCAGCTTCTGAGAGAGAGAGAGAGAGAGAGAGAGAGAGAGAGAGAGAGAGAGAGAGAGAGAATTTTATTTATTTTTTAGTTTTTTGGTGGACACAACATCTTTTTTTGTATGTGGTGCTGAGGATCGAACCGGGCCGCATGCATACCAGACAAGCGCACTACCGCTTGAGCCATATCCCCAGCCCCTATGACATTTCTTATTCTGTACCTGCCATCCCCACTTTATTTGGACCATCTCTTTTATATCTTTTCTCCTATCTTGCTTAATTTTGGTTCCAGCTTCAGAGGTTTCTTATCGGTACTGGAAGAGTCCTAGAACCTGAAGTGTGGGCCCTTCCCATCTTACCTTAGGTCCCAGGCATTCACCTTGGGTTCACTGTTGAGCTGGCCAGAATCTCACAGCTCTACCTGCAGTTCTCAAGMTGGCCCCCTGTGCTGTCCAGTGAATTACAGATTGGCTATTAGACTTCTTTTGCTCTTAAGTACATGACTTCTTTTGGGTCAGCCCATATAAAACATATAATGATGTCACCATGCAGGTCTTACAGCTTTTGGTAGTTTTTTCCCATCCTCTTAAATGTTGGGATATATGGGGATAACTTGAAATTTGTCAGTGTTTTTTGTGGATTTGTTAAGAAACAGGGTCTTACTGTGTGGCCCAGGCTGGCTGTATTCACTTGGACTCAAGTAATCCTCCTGCCAGCTGGGAACACAGGCACGCACCACCATGGCCAGATTGGTTGTTCTGTTTGTTTATAGGGAGATGGAAATTAAAAATCTCTGCTGCCATACAGCTACCTTCTCAGAATTTTTCTCTGCAGTAACTTAAATACATTGCAATTTTTCATTTTTTCTTAAAGATTTGGAAGAATATTCTTTGAAACTATCTGGCTACAGGGTTTTTGTGATTAACTCTTTGAAAACTTTTCTCTATCTTTTATGATATATAAAAAATTATAGCCTCTTTTGGAGTCAAGTTTTGATTACTAATTATATATTCCTACAAAATTATTCACTTCCTCCAGGCCTTCAAGTTTATTAAAATTGAGCCAAGTAGATTTCATCTTTTTATTTCCTCCATATTCATGGTTAGTGCTTCATTTTTATTCCTTATTTTGTGTCTGTTGTGTCCTTCTATATTTCTTTATGAATTAGTTAAGTTATTCTCCTTTTCCCTGCAAAGAACCAACTCTTGAATTTACCAATTCTTATAATTTTTGAGTTATTAATTCTTAAGTCATTTTTTAAAAATTCTATGTTTATTAATATAAACAAAACCTCTGAAAATTTCTTTTGACACTTGCTTTAGCTTTTCCCCCTAAAATTTTTTTACTAATTTTTTTAAATTGTTGATAGACCTTTATTTTATTTATTTATATGTGGTGCTGATAATCAAGCCCAGTGCCACACACGTGCTAGACAAGCGCTCTACCACTGAGCTACAACTCCAGCCTTTCCATCTAAATTTGATTTACATTGTTTTCTGAGTATTTGGAAATTTTAGGTTTGATTTACTTTTTTACCAAGAATTTTTGGAGATTTAAAATTTCCCAGAAGGTCAGGATTATTACTTTTTTAGATTGTTTTTATTTTTTTGTAGTTGTAGATGGACAGAATGCCTTTGTTTTATTTTTAAAAAATTTTTTATGTGGTGCTGAGGATGAATCCAGCGCCTCATGCATGCTAGGCAAGCACTCTGCCATGGAGCCACAGCCCAGCCCTACTGTTTTAGTTTTATTACTTTCATTTTTCATTTATGGAGCTTTTCTTATCTATATGATCAAGTTTTAAATGTTCTGTGGGTCTTTGAAAAAGAAGGCATATTCTCTGCTTTATCAATGAGTCCTATACCTCCCCCTTTGTTCTCATGGGGAGTACCCCCCTTTTTTCTCGTGGGGAGTCCATTCTGCAGGGGCTCTCACAGATGGTTTCAGTTTTATCTCACATTTTCTGTGTTTTTGATTTTTGAATGCTGAGTGCTTGAACAGGCTTCATTACTGATAGAACTTCATATGGATTATAATTTTTATCATTTTAAAGTATACTTCTGCATAGTTCTGTCATCAAAAGATCTGATAGGATTTGTTTATGTGACCTTTTTTGCCTTTTTAAATTGTTCACTCTATAATCCATTATTATGGTTTCACTTTTGTTTGTGTGCAGTGATAATTTATGAACTTTATTTTGTGTCTTGTGGGTTGCATTATCACTAGAATATAAAATATATACTTAATTTTTTCTCCTTCCCATTTAAAATTTCAGTCGTTCACTGTACTATTGTGTAGATCTTTATTTCATTCAACTCAGTCCATCAGTTTTTAATATTTGTTTTCTGCTCCTGTCTACCTGTATTTTAAGGTATTTGAAGGTAACTTGTAAGCATCATGATTATTTATTCCTATTTCTGCATGTATCTTTTGAAGATAAGAGCATTCTTCTACTCACCCACAGTATCAATATTATATCCAAGTACTTGAACATTAATGTAACATTACTAAAGAGCTGATATTTGCATTTCCCCAGTTRTATCAATAATGTCCTTTGAGCCAGGCAAAGTAGTACATGCCTGTGATCCCAGCAACTCGGGAGGCTAAGGGAGGAGAATTGCAAATATGAGGCCARCCTGGGCAACTAGGCAAGACCCTGTCTCAAAAAGGATTGGGGCATAGCTCAGTGGTACAGCATCCTAGGGTTTGATCCTAAGTACCCCCCAAATAAAAATAATGTCTTTTGTAGTCTTTAACCTATTAACCTACTTCAGTCTTCTCATCTCTTTAAATGAAAAGTTCAAGTAGTTGTTTTTTAAAAAACATTGCTAGCATTTGAGTTTATTTGCTTCCTCATGGAAAGATGCAATTTCCTTTTGGAAGGATTCATCATATTTTCTCTCTATAATCCGTTCATCTCTATTCATTTAGAAGCACATGGTATCAGTCCTGTTACTAGTCAAGTTAAGTATGATCACAGGGTTAGAAGGTATTCTTGATAGTTTTTACCTTATCTTTTGACTTCTTTCTATGAGCTGTGACTAAATATATTTTCCTCCTACCCTTTTGTTTTTCTTAGTACTCTTATTTACTCTTTTTTTGGGGGGGGGGGTACCAGGGATTGAACTCAGGGCACTCTACCACTGAGCCCCATCCCCAACCCTATTTTGTATTTTATTTAGAGACAGGGTCTCACTGTGTTGCTTAGCAACTCACTTTTGCTGAGACTGGCTTTGAACTCTCCATCCTCCTGCCTCAGCCTCCCAAGCCCGCTGGGATTACAGGTGTAAATTTACTGGCTTCTCCTAGTGACTCTTAATATTCTTATTGACTTTAAGTATATCATAGCTTTGCCATAGATCTAGAAGATAAAGTCACCTCTTTATGCTGCTCCTATCTTTTTTCCCTCATCTCTTCCACTTTTTCTTATTTACTTTTCTGTAAAAAAGAACGAAAGAATATCTTTTGGTTCTATAGCTTCAGTTGTGCGGGTGAGACCTACCTGAGGAGCAGGTGAGGATAGAGCAGTTGGGATGGGTGTGGGTGGAGGCTGGGAGAAGAGGGAAAGCAAGGGCAGTGGGCGTAAGAGGTATTGTCCCCTGACAGGCTTTGAGCCTGGCTTTGTACTGTTATAGCTTGTCATCTACCCCACCTTAAGATGTTGATTAATCACTGTTCCTGGAAATTCTTGGTTTTGACTCTTCTAGTCTTAAAATTATAGACCCAAATTTGATGGGTGGAGTGGTTTTCTCTGAGTAGAAGCAGCAGAGCACCTTCTTGGGACCAGTGTCAAGCTGAGGACCACACCCGACTTCCCTTTCCTTTCCTTGATGTTCTCTCCATTTCTGGGTCTAAATGTACTTTGTATTTTCTTCAGGTCTCCCTGTCGCTGGGCAAACCTCAGAATTTGTTAACCAAGTGTTAGAGAAGACTGCAGAGGGCAACCCCACCGGAGGCCTTGTAGGACTAAGGATTCCAACATCAAAAGTGTAATCAGCCCCGTTGGACCACTGGTCAGAAATGTCTGTTTTTGTCACATTATCCATTGTAAATTTCATTCTGTTTTGCATGTCAGTTAGCATTATGTAAACATTTATAATTAGGTTACATTGTTTTAAGAACTTGTAGCATAAGTGAAGCATGATCCAAAATACTTGATTATTGCATTTTCAGAGCGTAAACCATGGTTAATCGGCTACTGGCATTAGAATTGAAACACACGTGCAGAATGCAAACACCCGTCAGAGCAGAACATTGTGGAGGTAGGAGCGTGTTCATCTGATGCCCAGCGTGGTGCCAGGCTGTGCTCTGCACCACATAAAATATTGAGGAAGCATTTTTTAAGCAGTCCGTTAGATTGTTTTTAGAATTCTGCTTTTTGTTCTAATTTTCCACAACCATAAATCTCACTTGTACATGGCACACCCAGCACTCACACCARTGTGCCATGTTAGATGTTCATTTTCAGAGCCCAACATGATATATATAATATATATAGATATATATATATATATACGTAAATATATACGTGTCTGTGCAAGTAAGAAAAAAAGCATATTCTTTGTGCCTTGTATTTTGGGGAAACTATAAAACTGGTAATATTTTGTATGATGAAAACCCTAATGAGGAAAAATAAGATATATAGATGGAAAAATTATGGGGTTTAAATGTTTTTTTGTTCCAACTCTTTTTCAGATTTTTTGAATGTATATAGGACTATGTTGAAATGTAGATATATGCCACAGAGTCTGTGTATTGTATAAAAAACAAAACAAAAAAATAACAAAAAAAAGATGGCTCTAGAAAAACTCATATTTCGGTACTTGACCGGAAGAAGACAAATACTTGCACATTATTGCGATTGTTTTATTTTTTGTACCAAAGACAAATGCAACTGATATGGCAAACTGCCAGTCTAAGTAAAGTTTTGCACAGCTTACATGATACTGTATGAATGTATGAAAAAAAGGAGAAAAAAAAGAAAAAATTAAAAGGTCAGGGTTAGGGATCTTATTGAACTGTGAATTTTATTTCTGTTTGGGTCCAATTATCTACAGAAGGAGCATCCATACATACAAATGTTATTTTGCTGTTCCTCTAGTTCGCTTCCATAGTAGATAAGTTGGTGGCCATTTAGGTATCTGTAAGTCTTTTATTTCTGCACTTATTGTAGGAAATTTTAATATATTTCATTTTAGTAAGCTATTGATAAAATAGTTTTTGACTTTGAAAATTAAAGTTTATTTAGCTTATTGTAGTATACTTCCACCAAACAACCAAAATACAGATTATTTTTATTGTATTATGTATATATGTGTAAAGAAAGAAAAAAGCTAAAAATATCTAATTCTTTAGTTGCCACTTTTCCAATTGATGTATTATTGTGCATGTAATATTTTCAAAGATCAACACAAGCTTAAAACAAACAAAAAATTTATAGATTTTTATATTTTTGTACAGGTATTTTCAGACTAGCTTCTTCAGACTTACATGTGACTTATTCTTCTATCGTTTCTAGAATTGAGAAACATTAACACATTTAGTTTTTAGGTGCTCTTTTTTGCTCACATAAAACGGCTTCACTAGTCAGTGTTTTAACTGTTCAAGCTTTACCTCTTGAAAAATCTCTTCTATCCAAGGCAGCATTATACCCTTCCCCACAGATCTTTCCCTTCTGTCTCTCAGACTGTTCTATTCTCAAATTTTGCTTTTGGAACTCTGAAAACTGGTGGCTTAAACACTATATTTAAAAGAAAAAAAAACAAACATTTAGCAAAAAAAAAAAAACAAAAACAAAAATAAATAAAAATTAAAAACCAAAAATTAAAAAAGCCTGAAAATTTCAGACCTACCTACTGAAAAAGAATCGTTTTCTTCATTACCTGTAATAGACTATATTCCTTCATTATACTTTGTCTCTCTGGTACATTTCCTTTTCTTCCACTCCCTCACCTTCCCCATTTGTAAGCTCTGGCACACGAGGGTTCCATTCTGCAACATACAATGACAGCCTGCTCTGTTGCTTGCTCGCTTCTTTGACACCATGAAACATATGAAGCTGGGAAGGACTGTCTGACACTTTAGCTGGACTGTGGTGCACAAGATTTTCCTGCGTTTGGTGAAAATGCACCTCGCTAGTGCGTTCATGCGAAGCAGATGATGAACTCAAGTCCATAGAATGTGAGTTCATCGTGTGGGGTTTTTCCTTTTAGGTGGGAGAAGGCAAAGCACAGGTTTGCAACTTGGAGGTATATGAAGTCTTGACAGAGTGTGTCTGGTAAATTGACCAGACATATTTTGTTCCAAAATATGGCAGTTTTGCAGTCAGTAAAAATTGCTTCATGATAGCGATTTATCTGGCAAGGTTTATAAAATTGCCCCTTTCTAGCTGCTCTCTTAGGAATTCTGGTTTTTGATACTTTTTTCCTGTCTGCAAACCAGAATTTGATTTTTTGGTCTTGCATTTCAAAAAAAAAAAAAAAAAAGAATAAAAAAAAAAAGACTGAATCTGTTTAGTAGATTCCATATCCTTGCATTTCAGTGTTTTATATGTACTACTTAAGTTAAATAGTTAAAAGCTTTTAAATAGTTGAGCTTTTTAATGTTGACACTTTATTTTGTACCTATTTATATTTGTATGTATATCTTAGAAAAGCACTTTGTTAAAAAAATTGCATTTTATATGATTCCTGCCATTTGCTGCTAAATCTGGGCTGGTCAGAATGCTGCAGCGATACTTGATCTAAATAAAAACCTGGCAGTAAAATGTAGAGTGAAAGTTAAATCCTCTTGCTGTTTTAACTTTATCATAAAGATGACATAGGCAAGCTGTGCAGCTTTACATTTTAACCAGGGGACTCTGTGGCATTTAAACCGTCTAGAAATGGTTGTACTTTAATGCCAGTAATAATCTGCTTCCTCTATTGTCATTAAAATATGTATGTTTAGTGTATCACACAAACCAATCTTATAAGGTAATGTAAAAACCCCAACAGTTGTACATGTTCTGTTTTTGAAAATTGTGGCGTGTATTTTTGGGTGAAGATCATTAGAGAAGATCTCTCTAAAGGTTTTCTGTGCTCATACATGGTATACAGATTGCTCATAATGAAGTCCAGAATCTTACTTTAAGTGAAGGCATTGTGAATTCACCTCAAATAAACCCATTGTTCCAAAAGCAATGATAAACGTTGACTCTAGTACTATTATGATTTTCAGAAAAAAACAAAAACAAAAACAACTTTCTTCCTAGTTTCAGATACACTGGATTCTTTACTGAATTTGTCTCCATGAAAGCATGCTGTCCAGTTGCTCTTGTTAAGATACTGTCTGCGTGTTGAGTTGGGTGCCACACCTCCTCAGTCAGTACAATTGCTTGTTCTGCTGCACCATGTAGGATTCTTGTCCTTTCCTCTGCCCTCCATGACAGATTATGATGTGGCTTTATATTGTGCCTTACTTGTACATTTACAACTCCATGTCTCCATTCCCTTCCACTTCCTAGACTTTTGACCTTTTTGGTAAGAGAATCTGAGCTGTTACAAAAGCATCATGAAGGATTTTCAGATGGGTATGGTTTCATATTCCCTCTCTTTATAGTTATTTTATATTTGTATGAAAGACCAATTTTAAATGGTCTTTGAATAAGAGAGGAAAAGGGTAGCAGTAACTTCACTACATCCCCTTCCTCTGACTTTCATGGATTTYTCATACATCTTCTTTCTGATGCTTGACTTTATTTGCRTCTCAGCAATAGTCTGCATTTAGAAAAAGGTGTATTCAGTTCATCTGCTTTCATTTTCCAGACTTTTTAGGAGAAGAGTTCCCATTTTGTTTGTTTTATACAACAGATGACAAGTCTCTTTAAAAGAAACAGAAGAACAGTACTTTTGAAATACAATGCTGTTAGTTTGGATTTCTTTTTTATATATATAATATTCATACAGTTATATGATGTTTGCCTTCATTAATAAAGCTGTTAGTTTATTCACCAAAATGTCAAGAATGGATGTGCTTTTCTTTATTCCATACATTTAAAATATTTTAGCTGCTAAGATTTAGTTAACTTTGTAAGAAATGAATTCAAGTTGCCTTCAGCAGGAATTAACAAAAACTTATGTTCCCTGTCTATATTTTATATAGTCTTCCTAAAATTCTGTTCAAGTATTTTCTAGTTAATTGTGTAACAGAATGTCAGCATCTCTCCAAATCTTGAAACTTGAATTTTGAGAATGCATTGAATTATGCTTTCAGTGTTAAAGTAAAAGGTTTCAATTATCCTTCTGGTGAAGTCTATTGTGGAAAACATTTCCCATGGAACTGAGGCCATTTCCACAACTTTGCACAGAACTGCAGTCTTGTTCTTCCCTTGGATCATGACAAATAAGTCTCACACAGTGCCGTAATACTTGTGGATTCTTTTGTAATCTTTGTAATCTTAATAAGGGCATTATGAGAAGATGACTCCATGTTTTTTAATATTTCAAACACATTGGGATATAACAATGAATGTCAACCGTAGGAGTGGTTGTTTTGTTTTAAGGAATCAGCGTGTCGGGGAAAGATGGTGAAAATGTACTACTGAGAGGAGCACTTCCACAGCAGGGGAGACTGTGTGTTGAAGCACGGTCCCGTGCTGTCCTGTACGCTGACGGAAATTGTAGGAAACACACCTAGGGACTGAACTATGCCAAATTGCCATTTTTGTTTAGAAAAGAGAGATTTGGAGTGGTCGCGAGGGAACAGAGCCTCACGATGACCTCCAGATAGTATTTTGAAGACTTGGTTACTCATGAGCCTGGAGTGGGTATTCAGTGTGCCAAGTTTGGGTGGACCAGGCTGCCTCTTTCTAGTGATGCAAACAGTGGTGTCGTGAGCTGTCCTGGGTGACAGGAGCGAGACGGGTACTGAGTCTTGCCCTTCACCCTTTGTTTTTTTTTTCAGAACCAAATAACAGAAACGTGTGTATGTGTGAACTGTATCTGCCTCTCCACCCACTGTTACGACTGTAATCTGCTGACTGCTTTTTGACCTTCTCTCCCCAGGATTTGTCTTGTAGCTTAGCATTTGTGATCAACAGTAACACTAGGGCTACCAGCACAGAAGTCACAAGAGAAGAGTGGAAAGGCGAGAAGTCAAAGCATTCGTTTCTACACTGTGGCAACCTCTTTTGCATAGTTGCTTAGGATCCAGTTTGTAACGCTATCATGAATATTCTGTAGTTTTTGTTTATTTTTCCTGCCCCCCCCACCACCTGGAGCTATGACACCTTTTATTGGRTTCAGTCTTGTCTGGAAAGAATTTTGTCTTACTGACGCATGAGCTGTTTAAAAACTATTCTATTCAATGTTGGTTAATAGTTGTGCAGTTTTTCATTTCAGACGAGAAGGCCGTGCCAAGGCTGCCCTTGCTTTCTGTCCCTTCCCACCCCTGGCACTTCCAGTCAGATACAGATTCATCGGTGTATGCAACACCCTTTGTAATTTAAAATAAAAAAAAAAAAGATGAAAAGATTTTGGATCGTTTGCCTCATATTTTTGTCCTTCCCTTCTCTCCTGCCTTTCCATTGCCTCCCAAGAGGACCATCCACTCCTCCACAGCCTATCCCAAAGCAGTTCCCAAGTGCAGAGAGCAGGGAGCCACCTGCTACTTCTCTTGGTAGTGTACAAGGAGCGAAGTGATTTTTTTTTGACACTTTAAACAGAGTTTTCAATATTTCAGTGATACTCAGATATGACATAGATTTATTGATATAAACATTTGTGTTCTTATAGTTTTAGGGCATAGTTTATACTTAATTCTTTTTGATTTGGGGGGCAAATGATTTCTCCAAAATATCCAGGGTCTCTCCTGGTTTAAACATTGGTGTTGGAGTGTTTAATTATTCTGATCTTTAGGCTAGGCCAGGCATGTACAGAAAGCCTAAAGCCACTAGCCAGAGTGTTGCCTCCATGGCAGCATGTGCTCCTGCAGCTGACAGACCCTAGGTAGCATTTAACTTTGCCAAGACTTGTGCAAGATACCAGGCTGTAGAGCGACTGAAGGGGCCTCCCAGAGCTCAGCCCAGGCGCAGGCCACATGCAACGACCTCAGAGTTTTACCAGCGACTGGCAAGGGCACTAGGCTTCACACCAGTGAACATGTTAAGACTTGACATCCTGCTGTGATTGACAGGCTAGACCCTTTTACTTTAATTGAGTGACACTGGGGTCATCAGGAAGCAAAGTAGACAGGGCCTCCCGTGAACTGGTTCTTCCCCAGGACTTTTCTCTCAAGACCACTGTGCACAGGAGCCTCCTGGTGGTCCTGGAACATGAATTGGGTGAGCAGGTCAGAACAGGCCTTAGAAAACAATTTACTGTGGGTCACATCCAGTTAGGTAAGTCCTTTGGTAGTTCCTCCCCACTGAAGGTGAATTTGGAAGGAGGCGAGTTTGTTAGCTACAGTGCAGTGAATGATTTGAAAGAACAGGAAGTACACTTGCATCCCAGCTAGAAAGTAGAAACCAGGAAGGTCCTCCATGTCCTGAGGGGCGGGGTGGAAATCCTCCAACCCCTGCTAGGGAGCTCTGCTGCTGCTCTCAAGGCCAGTGAGGCTGGGTGGGGGTCATGTCCATTTACAGAAGAGCAGGCACGACTCAGCCCAGCTGCGTGACAGCCCAGTCCTAGTCACTCAGGGACGATTCACACTGCTCTCTGTTGGACCAGGCCAAGTCACAGGCAATATTTGGAAAGATGTCTGTGTAGGAAGTAAGTAATGGGCTTCTCCAACCTCCTCAAGAGGAAGCTGCCTTTTTTWAAAAAAAATTTTATATGTACTTTTAGTTATCAATGGGCCTTTATTTTGTTCATTTATTTATATGTGGTGCTGAGAATTGAACTGCGTGCCATACACATGCTAGGCAAGTGCTCTACCACTGAGCTACAGCCCCAGCCCCTACCTTTTATTTTCAGTTAAAAAATTTTTATTAAGGCATTATGATCACYTGTGACTGTTGGGTGTGCTGTTATGTTTGCACGTGACACACAGCGACACAGTGTGTCCGTTCCGTCCCCAGCACCTTGCCTCCCGTCTCCTCCCTCTCAGCCCTCTTTCTCTGCTCTACTGGTCTTCCTTCTATTTTCATGAAATAGAAAATTTTAGTCTTAAAATATTATCAGGAATAAACAAAAAATATAYAAAGACTAGATAAAGAAAAACACTACTGAGGATACAGAAGAAAACTTGAACAAACGGGAAGATATTCCAAGTTCTCGAACAGGAGCAATCAGAGCTACCAGCTCTAAATTACATTAAAAACGTCCTACTCCTAGTAAAACACTAGTCACAGAGGGTTAAAAGACACGATGTTCACCCGAGGGAAATACAAGCTGGAAGATGTTGGAGGAAAGGGATCAATGGGGTGTGTTATCCTAGTCAGATATTAAGAAGCCCATGAGTGGCCAGGCCAGTAAAGCAGATGGACAGTCTGGAAATCCACTCCACCACATACCAGCATTCAGTTGGTGAGTGTGGCAGGACCACAGAGAGAGGACGGCTGCAGTCAGTGGTGTTGGGGCCACTGGGCAGCCCAGAAAATGTGCAGTGACTCCATACCTCACTCCATAAGCCAATATATTTCAAAATGGATAAAGATCTAAATGTAAAATAGAAATAAAACCATAAAATCCCTAGAAGGCAATCCTTTAAAGCCCTGGGTGTGGGGAAGGCCTTTTCAACTTGGACCCCAAATCCAGGAGCCTTAAATGAAGACCAATCAAATTCTGTGTAAAACAAAATCTTCTTTAAGAAGAACAACAATAAAAACAATTTGAAATTCTAGAGACCCCCCCCAATAAAAGATTCTCAACACATCTCTAATGATTGCTATATAAAGAGCTGCTAGAAACTAATATGAAAGACAAATGACCCGATACAAAATTGAGCAAAGCAAATACAGAAAGGAAAAGTTTTCAATATCATTTATGATAAGAGAAATGCAAAATAAATAGAGGCTCTTTTTTTTTTTTTTTTTTTTGGTGTAATCTGATGCATGAAAAAAATCCACGTTTGTGGAAAGGCTATGGGGGACCAGCATTTGTACCACTTGTCTGGTGGGAGTGTAAATCAACATAACCCCCATGAAGAGTCATTTTGACAGGATGGGTCAGAATTTTAGAAGGGACATATCCTTGCACTGGGCAAGTCACTCTTCCTCTCTGTCCTATCTTTTAACCTTGTAGAGTTCTGASAATTAAGAGATGATGTCAGTGAAGCCCTTAAGATAAAGTGACTGTAACATTGATGTGATCCCATAGTACTGGTTAGTAATAGGGCATCAGCAACTAACAGACATTGAGCTCTTAGCACTGCCACGTTATCTGTGTCTCATTTCTGTGAATTGTCTCATTCCACACAACAGCCTCCTGCTTCTGTATCAGATGTGGTGAAGCAATCACTTAAAGGGAAGGTTCGCGGAGTCCCCTAGGAACGCAGATGAGCCAGCACATAGCCCTGCTTGTACCATTCTACCTATGGGGAAATTTCTTTCTTTTTTTTTTTGGTGGTGCTAAGGATGGAACCCAGGGCCCAGGGCCTTGTACACATGTGCAGTACCAACCACCCCAGCCCTCCAGGGGCCATATTGGTTTTGTGTGTTTGAGTCCATCTCCGGGGAATTACCAATTTCAAGGGTAGCTGTGAGGATTAAGAGAGATGAACACCTGTAGGCCCTCAGGTCCTCAGAATCTGGTGGCTGAGGGGATGTGAAAAGTAGATGGGGCAGGGGATGTGGCTCAGCAGTGGAGCACAGGAAGCTCCTGGCTAGCCTGGCAAGCCTTTCAAGGCCAGAGTGAAAGGAGCCTGCGGAGTCCAGGAAAGGGTGGGGCGAGTGGGTGGCTGAGGGCCTTGAGGCCAGCTGATCAAATGCAGGAGCTACCACTTGTTGAAGGTTTGCTCTGACATTATCCCCATCAAAACTATTCCAGCCAGACAAATATAATCCGATTATACAAGAAA